CTAGGCAAGATCCAGATCTAGCTCATTGTGAGAAGAGGTAAAGCAGATTTTAAAGTGTTGGCTGACAGGAAAGAAGGCAGCATAGAAAATATTAAGAACAGATAAAGCAGCTTTTCGGCCTGGCTGAGTGCAGGTAGGCATACATTTCATTCACTATGCCATGCGGTTTTTAATTTCCTGGGTCAATGTTCCTAGCAGCATACTGACAGGTTATTTTTGTTATTCTTGGAGCATTTTATCACACTGCTGCATATCACTATGAAACTCCATTGGCTATGTTAGCAATTAGATAGGGAACAGCAGCAACGAGAATGGATAAACAACAGAGGGTGAGAAGCAAAACTAACTAATGTGCATATAAATCTTCAATGGATAGAATCTCCTACTCCTGAAAACCTGCATCTCCTTCTCTCCTTGAGGAGGTTAAACAAAAGGGACAGATAGAAAGACTGTGCTGGACAACAATAGAACAGTATGGCTTTCAGCAGATGAACTCAAGAAGTCTAGTGCAATGGAGGTGACAGGGAAGTAATTTTACAGATGAGGACACTAAAGCACAGACAGGGGAAGAGTCCTTCCCAAGGTCAAGAATGAGCTGGTGGCAACAAGGGCATAAGCATCCAGGAGCCCTTACAGCGAGTCCTAGAAAGAGTTTTACCACATATTTGCGCATCCAACACTTCACAATATTTTGCCTGAACTGCCACAGGTTTCAAACCCTCGTTATATGACATCTTCACGGCAAGTGCAAACCTCGCTACAGTGTGAGGAGGCATCGACACCAAGCTGCTGAGAAATATCGTATCAAGAGAAGTCAAACCACCAAACCACAGTGTCAGTGCATGACACTATCACCACATCCATTTAGAAAAAAAACTTAACCCCGTCTCTTCTCAGCGGGGAAGAAAGAGCACAATATCACTGGAGTCTTCTCAAGAGGTGCTCAGAAACTATGGTGATGGATGCCAAAATAGGAACTGAGCTAGATAGTTCCTTATCACACTCCATGATGTCAAAGCCCCTTGGTGTCACCACAGCATGCACAATCCCAGGCACATCATATTAAGAATGCATAGTGAGGTGTCATCACTGCAGTGTCCTTATTGACGTGATGATGCCCCACCTTACGTGCTACTGGAGAGAAGGTTGTACTTGCCCCAGGAACGCTAGGGTAGTGGGCATCCCAGGCCTACCCTTCAACTCCCACAGCCTCTCCACACCACACATCTGCCCCAGTCCCATCGTCCCCCATCCCCATCAGTCTTGGTCCTGTCCCTGGTCCCAATGTCCCCCTCCCCATCTGCCCTGGTCCCAGTCCCAATGTCCCCTGCCCTGGTCCCTCTACCTCCTCCCCATCTCCCTCGGTCCCAGTCCCACTGCCCCCTCTCCCCATCTCCCCCGGTCCTGGTCCCACT